AACGTGGAACGGAGGTTTCGTTAGGGCTTAGCTTAGATATTAAGTTCAGTAAGTTTCTGTAATAAATTTTTTTTTTCGTATTATTACCGCGGTCCCTGCTCGGGCGCCAATTAATCAATTATATGTTTATTTTATATAAAAAAATATATATAAAATAGTTTGTATATCTGCTTTTTTAACACATTTTTATACTCTGTACATGAAATGTGCAAGAGTAGGCAGAAGGAGGCGTGGCAGACCCCACAAAGTATATACAAGTATATTCTTGATCAGCATGACAAGACGAGTCGATCTGTCTGTCTGTCTGTCCGTATGAACACCTGGACCTCAGAGACTATAAGAGATAGAGACACCAAATTTTGGACAAAGATGCCTTATGTGTGTACGCTGTGCAAGTTTGTTTTTTTTTTTTTTTATTTCCCCCCCCCCCTTTCCCCCTATGGGGGTTTTCCCGATTTTCCATTCGTATAATAGCCTATATCTCGGAGACTATAAGACCTAGGAACACCAAAGTCCAAGATGCCTTTTGTGAATACGCAGAAAATGTGTATTTTGGAATTTACCTCCCACCTCCCCCGCAAATCGTAACTCCCGCAATTCTTGGAATTTCGTACTCAAATTTTGGAAATACCCCCAGTTAGTCATTATGTGTCCGTATGCCAAGTTTCACTACGATAGATCGATTTAACAAAAATAGCCATAAATATATTTGCTGCCCACGCGCTGCCCAAGCGCTGTCCGCAGCTGTTGTTGATGCTGGTGCTTTGGTTGACTTCAAACATGTTTACACAGACACGAATAGATGCGCATAGGCATTCATACACTCACATAGACGCAATTGCTTGGTATATGTGCAATTATACACCCTTTACGTGAGTTCGAATACCGAGAGGGGTAAAATCTATCTTTTTTAAATTTTTTTAATTTCTATAATTATTTTAAACATATGTATAGAGTATTTGCTGTTTGGGAAATGAACTCTTTAAAAACTTTAGTGTCGAAAGAGAAATATCATATAGTAAATAAACGTATAATTGTAAGCACAGATACTGAGCCCAGCAAAGACGGGCCTGCTAGTTTACAATATGTGATGTTCGAAAAATGTAATTTTCTATTTGGGCCAATTGAGCATCTCTATTGTGCGGTTGTTTTGGAAACTACTAATGCTTTAAGTATACATTTAGTAATTTGCTAATTTAATAATATTTACATAGGATACGCAAAATATTTTTGATCAAATTGTTCAGAAGAACTATAAAGTTTATCTCGCAATGATTTTTTTTTGAGTGTTTTTAATAAAAACTCCTGGCAAAACAAACGAGATTTGAAATCTGTGGCACCGAGAATGGGTTTTGGGGCGGAAGAGATTTCTGTGGCACCACTGATAGTGGAATGTATACTATGGTCATACGTACATTCATAACTAATATTTATATTTATGTATTATGATAGTAGTATTCTGGGCATGTAATTTGTTGAATTAAAAGCTGCATAATTTGGCAACGATTTTTGGTCAACTTATGTTACTGCACAACATTTAAATAGAAATAAATGTTACAACAACCTTCATTATCATAACTATTTGTTGTACGCTTTAATAAAAAGTTAAAAAAAAACATGCTACGTAGTATTCTTTCTTAGAGTAAATAAACCAAGTTAATCGGATTTCTAATTTTCTAAAACCGCTTGTTATCTCATCGTATGTCCAAATTTCAGCATCCTAGCTTTTACCGTTTGTGCTGTGGGGTATTGATTGTTGCAATTTTTTTCACAGGAAAACCCCCATATTTCATGCCCCAGAAAACCAAGTATGCAGTGTTTTTTGAATCGAGCAAGTACGTACATACTTTTGGGGTCTCCTTTTGTACTTGTATGTTACATACATTCCCACTAAACTAAGTAGTATGTATGTAACCCCTTTTTGTACAAGTACAAAACCCGATCAAATTAGCGTTATTGTGCAAAATGGTACTCGTATTTAAATTCAATATAGCCCAGTCAAATTAGGGTTTCACATCGGAATTTAAAATACTAAGCTGAAAAATTGTATACACCTTTATGTTGTTTCAAAAGTCACTATTATCTGTGACTATCGTGCCAGTCTTAAGATATTCAAGGTCAAAGGTCATGGAAATCGTGTTTTCTCGTATATCTCGCTTCGTTTGCCTTGGATGAGATTTGCACCTATCACAAAGTTGTAGAGTGTAAAATTCTCTAAAACTTGTGTAACAAATTTTCATAACCGTTTTTGAGATAGAGCGTAGAGTGCGCAGCGCAGTCATATATGTATATCCAATGCATGAACCTTAATATCAGCCAATCGTATAAAGTTCTTCAAATTAACTCTTTAGCTAATAAAAATATATTAAATTATACGCCAGGAAAATTAATAGTTCTCGTATTAGCTTTATAAATAATATTTTTACTGAGTTTTAAATTTAATACCATAAATTCACTTTTATTTTTGCGACATTTGATTAGCACATGTAAATATCGCATAACAACGAAAAAGGGCACTAAAGACCCCTAAATCAAATTTGTATGGGAATTACTGCATTTTCTTAACTTAATTAAAAATAACTAATAAATTGTTGCGCCACCACGGTTTACTATGTCCTCGTACACCCTGTTCGGTAAGGAGACATATAATTTCTTTATACAATTTAGTGAAATGGTCTGCCAAACATTTTTATACCCTGTACCCGTAGGGTAAAAAGGGCGGACATGTCCGCCTGTCTGAATGAACGCAAGGATCTCAGAAACTATAAAAGCTAGAATAACCAAAGTTGGCACACAGATTCTCCTAGGTCCGAGAAAGGACGAGTTTATTTATTTTTTTCCCCCCCTTCCCTCGCTACAGAATTTCGTCAATAGCGTCCACATTTCAAATGCTACCTAAACCAAACCTTGCACACATAATTTATATATAATTATCTACTGTTGTTTAAAATGTTATTCAATTCGGTCAATTCTAAGAAGCGAAACAAATTCTCGCCAGTACAACCCCTCCAAACTGCAGCAACAAGTTCGCTCTTCTTCTTCTTCCTCTTTTTGCTGCTGCTTTGGGCGCATATAACTCAGTGACGGAAGTTTACCTGGGTACAGGGTATTACACTGTCGGGTGTAGCGTTCTCTCTTGTTATACCCTGTACCCGTAGGGTAAAAAGGGTATATTAGGTTTGTGCAAAGTATGTAACATACAGAAGAAGCATCTCCGACCCCATAAAGTATATATATTCTGAATCAGCATGACCTAGACATGTCCGTCCGTCTGGATGAACGCAAGGATCTCAGAAACTATAAAAGCTAGAATAACCAAAGTTGGTATCCAGATTCTCCTAGGTCCGAAAAAGGACGAGTTTTTTTTATTTTATTCGCCTCCATCCCCCCCTCTCAACCGCAAATCGTAATTTTCCATACCTCCCGTAATTCTTAGAATTTTTGAATCAAATTCAGGAAATGCATTCAATTAGTGATTATGTCCGTGTGCCAAGTTTCATTATGATAGACCGATTTAACAGAAAGTTATAGCCATAAATATAATTGCTGCCCAACCGCTGCTGCTTATGTTTCTGTTTGATTGACTGCAAACATGCTCACATAGACACGAATTGACACGCATAGACATGCATATACTTACACAGATGCGATTTCTATGTAAATGTGCAATTATCCACCTTTTTTGTACAATGTACAAGAGTATATTAGGTTTGCGGGAGCTGAAAAATGTAACAGGCAGAAGGAGGCGTGGCAGACCCCACAAAGTATATATATTCTTGATCAGCATGACGAGACGAGTCGATCTAGCCCTGTCTGTCTGTCCGTCCGTATGAACACCTGGATCTCAGAGACTATAAGAGATAGAGACACCAAATTTTCCACAAAGATGCGTTATGTGTGTATTCTATACGAGTTTGTTTTATTTTTTTGATTTTCCCCCCCACTTCCCCCCTATGGGGGTTTTCCCGATTTTCCATTCGTATAATCGCCTATATCTCGGAGACTATAAGACCTAGGAACACCAAATTTTAGTCCCAGATGCCTTATGTGAATACGCAGAAAATGTTTATTTTGGAATTCCCCTCCCTCCCCCCTCTACCCCGCAAATCGTAACTCCCGTAATTCTTGGAATTTCGAACTAAAATTTTGGAAATACCCCCAGTTGGTTATTATGTGTCCGTATGCCAAATTTCATTATGATAGACCGATTTAACAAGAAGTTATAGCCATAAATATATTTGCTGATGCAGCGCTGCTCAAGCGCTGCCCGCGGCTGTTGTTGATGTTGCTGTTTGGTTGACTGCGAAAATGCTTACACAGACACGAATAGATGCGCATAAGCATACATACACTGACACAGACGCAATTGCTATGTAAATGTTCAATTATACACCCTTTACGTGAGTTCGAATACCGAGAGAGGTAAAATCGATCAAATTTTTTTTGTTTATTTTCTTAATTTTTTTTAATTTCTATATTTATTCTAAACATATGTACAGAGTATTTCAAAGTCGGGACACCCGACTTTAGCTTTTTTACTTGTTTTAAATTCTCTTAATTATAGCCTGTACCAAAGGGTGAAAGGCTATACTAGTTTTGTGCGAATGTATGTAACAGGGAGAAGGAGGCGTGGCAGACCCCACAAAGTATATATATTCTTGATCAGGGTGACAAGTCGAGTCGATATAGCCATGTCCGTCTGTATGAGCGCAAGGATCTCAGAAGGTACAGGAGCTAGAATGACCAAACTTGGTAACCAGGTTCCCCTGAGCCCTAGGCAGGTCAAATTTGTTTTTTTTTTATTTTGATACATCCCCCCACTCCCCCGCAATCCGTGTTTTTTTATATCTTCCGTAATTCTTGGATTTTTGAAATCAATTTTGGTAGTTTCATCATGATAGGTCAATTCTGAAGAAAGTTATAGCCATAAATAAAATCGCTGCTCATGCGCTGCCCGCAGCTGTTGCTGCTTGTTTTATTTTAAACCCAAAATAAACAGATACGAGAAATAAAATATTAAATTTTATTTAATCTTCCAAAATGGGGGAGAATTTTAAGATTTTAATATTCCATTGTCAGCAGAAATAAAATGCCGCTTTGATGACGTATTTAAATATGGTCGGTAAGCCCATTCGGTGTTAGCTGCTCTTATATTATCCAATGACCCTAATTTAATTTGATACAATTTTAATTGAAACCTTGGCCCAATTTCCTTTAAATCCAAATCTCCTTTGATGTTTTCAAATCGATGGTGTCTAAATAGGATTTGGTCGTCATTATTTATAAAAGATATTACTCTTTGCGATTTTTCCTTAGGAACAGGAAACAAATATTTTAATATTTTCATCGTCCTCACGCCAATGTCGCTCTTAAAGTTGTGAAATATTAAGTGTGGTTTCTGCTCAGTCATTGGACCAATGTCAGGAATATCGTGCCGCATTACGACATCAGAAATATTGAAAAATGCAGTAGGTCCATATGGCAGATGGCAAATAACAAGACTATCGGGTGTTCCACGATGTTCATGCACAATTATAAAGTCAGTCACATTATTGGCTCGGCAAGCGTGCATAATAGAGTTTATTTGGTAATTGCCTCGATTCATTTGTTGAGCGTTAGGGAATATTAGCCGCAGTTCTTTTACAAATATTTTTAATCGTGATGATGGGTCATGAGAAGTTGTTATCATAATTTTTGGATCTTCACATCCAGCGAACTCATATTCATCAGGAACTGCTTTGCTGCTTGTACCTAAAAAAATGATATAATTTTGATCAGTTATAAGATATGAACATAACGTTATTTATATACACCTAGCCCTCGCTTTACGCGAATCCTTTTACTACGGTCTCGGTCTAACACGATTAGAAATCTGCTACCTTTTCTCACGATGAAAAACTCTTTTCTTACATGAACATAAATAAATACATAAATCGATTGTTTTATTTTGTCGATTGATGCGTATTTTCGTGTATAGTATGTATCACCACACATGAGATACGTGTAGAAAGAAGGAAGTTCTATTTTCTTCACCACCAGTACATACATAAATTGTTGTTGAGGTGAGTAAAGCTATACTTCTTAAGGCGCGCACATAGTAAGATTAAAACTTTTGTGGTGAGTTTTACAGCTTAATGAAATAAAATGTAAAAAGTAAGTTATACAAATTGCAGTTTCTACAAAAGCATTAAAAGAAAACAAGTAGAGAATCTAAAGTCGGGTATCCCGACTTTGAAATACTCTGTACATATGTGTAGAATAATTATGCGTGTATGTGTGTGTTTGTGTGTGTCTGTGTATGTCTCGTGCAATTGCGTCTATGTCAGTGTATGTCTGTTTATGCGCGTCTATTCGTGTCTGTGTAAGCAAGTTCTCAGTTAACCAAAGCACCAGCATCAACAACAGCCGCGGGCAGTGCTGGAGCAGCGCTTGAGCAGCACTGCAGCAGGAAATATATTTATGGCTATAACTTCTTGTCAAATCGGTCTATCATAGTGAAACTTGGCATACGGATACATAATTACTAACTGGGGGTATTTGCAAAATTCGAAATTCTAAGAATTACGGGAGTGAGAGAAAATTTGCATGGGAGAGGGGGGAGGGAGGGAAATTCCAAAATACATATTTTCTGCGTATTCACATAAGGCATCTTGGACTAAAATGTGGTGTTCCTAGGTCTTATAGTCTCCGAGATATAGGCGATTATACGAATTGAAAATCGGGAAAACCCCCATAGGGGGGGAGGTGGGGGGGGGGGGGGGGGGGGGAAACCAAAAAATAAAACAAACTTGCACAGCGTACACATATAACGCATCTTTGTGCAAAGTTTGGTGTCTCTACCTCTTATAGTCTCTGAGATCCAGGTGTTCATACGGACAGACGGACAGATAGACAGGGCTAGATCGTCTCGTCTCGTCATGCTGATCAAGAATATATATACTTTGTGGGTTTGCGGGAGCTGAAAATGTAACAAACAGAAGGAGGCGTGGCAGACCCCACAAAGTATATATATTATCGGTGACAAGCCGAGTCGATATAGCCATGTCCGCCTGTATGAGCGCAAGGATCTCAGAAGGTACAAGAGCTAGAATGATCAAACTTGGTATCCAGGTTCCCCTGAGCCCTAGACAGGTCAAGTTTGTTTTTTTTTTATTCTGATACACCCTCCCACTCCCCCGCAATTCGTGTTTTTATACTCTGTACATAAAATGTACAAGAGTATTTTAGGTTTGCGGTAGATAAAAATGTAACAGGCAGAAGGAGGCGTGGCAGACCCCACAAAGTATATACAAGTATATTCTTGATCAGCATGAGGAGACGAGTCGATCTAGCCCTGTCTGTCTGTCCGTATGAACACCTGGATCTCAGAGACTATAAGAGGTAGAGACACAAAACTTTGCACAAAGATGCCTTATGTGTGTACGCTGTGCAAGTTTGTTTTATTATTTTGATTTCCCCCCCCCCCCCACTTCCCCCCTATGCGGGTTTTCCCGATTTTTCATTCGTATAATCGCCTATATCTCGGACACTCTAGGGACACTAAATTTTAGTCCCAGGTGCCTTATGTGAATACGCAGAAAATGTGTATTTTGGAATTTCCCTCCCTCCCCCCTTGTATATGTGCAATTATACACCCTTTACGTGAGTTCAAATACCAAAAGAGGTAAAAACGATCAAAATTTTTTTTTTTAATTCCGTCCGTGCCAAGTTTCATCATGATAGGTCAATTCTGAAGAAAGTTATAGCCATAAATAAACTCGCTGCCCATGCGCTGCCTGCAGCTCTGCCCGCAACTGTTGTTGTTGCTGCTTTGGTTCAACTTTGTGCTGCATACCTACACGCATATAAACACGCAGAGACAAGATTCTGATGTAAATGTATGCTGTTGAAACTGTACATGAACATGTCTCCACTTTTCTATATATGTATTGAATAATTTGTATTTAATTTAATTAAATAATTTATTTAATATAAATTTAAAATTACTTTAATTTTTTTTCGTTTTTTCCTTTTTGGTGGGAGGTACAGGGTATTTAAGAGTTGAGCTCGCTCGACTTTAGCGTTCCTTTCTTGTTTATCATGGAATAGTTTACTCTGTCTAGTTCAGGTGTATTTCCTTTTAATGTACTTAGGGCTGATGTAAATTCGATTAGTGTCTTTTCTTTTTCTGATTCTGTAGCTCTTTTTCTAGACTGTTTGTCCTGACTGACTGATTGGTGATCAACGTACAGCCTAAACGGTAAAGGCTAGGAAGCTGAAATTTGGACTCAGATATCCTTTCATAGTGTAGGTGCCCACTGAGATTTTGGAAAATTCGAGCTCCAAAGAAGAGGAAAACAGGCTCCAACGTTTGTATGAAAAATCTACAATTTGCATCTGATTAACTTCAAACTTAGTTGGTATACTCTCAGAAAAATTCCAAGAAAAATGGGAGTTTTCCTGTACAAAAAATGGGGCACAAAAGGAAACCGCGTCAACAGCCCACAAGAGCTATGAAGCTGAAATTTGGGCTCAAGGATCCTATTATAGTGAAGGTGCCCACTAAGAAGGGATTTTGGAAAATTCAAGCTCCAAAGGGGGGAAAACGAAGTTTGTTTGAAAAATCTTCAGTTTTCCCCCAATCAACTTTAAGCAAAACTGCATACTCGGATTTTCGAAATTTGTGGTGGAGCTTGAATTTTTGGGGTTTTAATATTTATTCACCTTTTCAAATGAAAAGTTTGTGTTATAAATTTTTTCCGATCGATTTCAAATTTGGGGACTGTAATCTACGTAACTAAATCTACAACTTTGCGTTCAAGGATTTTCAAAATATGCATTTTACAAATGCAGGCAGAACAAACAATACAAAATATTAAACAGTTGGGGACAACTAAGTATACATACACACCAGAGAACTGCAACGAGTACTACATTTTCGGTCATACTCGAGTATTTACCCATACTCGGTATGATTATTTCATTTGGATATAGTAACAAGCAATGACTGGTTGCGAACGAGCCCTCAACGAACACTCAGTTCGAATCAAAACTGCAAAAACTCAGAAGTGAGCGGTTGTGCCCGAAACTTCTTGCATGAATGCAAGCAATGACCGGTTGTGAACGAACCAACCAGTCAGTTCGACTCACAACTGCAAATACTCAGAATGAGCGGCGGTGACCGAAACTTTTTGCCTGCGTACAAGAAATGATCGAACGTCGTATTTACAATCATGCCCGCATGACCGAAATGACCAATGATATTGGCAGGTGCACGTGCACGTGCACTCGCATTTTCTATTGTTTTTTCGGCTATTAGTTAAATAGTAACATCGTATACAAGTTTGTAAATGCATATAAATTAAAGAAGCCAACAAAACTATTAACGAAAAGAAATAGCTTCCTTTTTATTTAAATTAAAAAAAGTTATGCCGTTTTAATTTATATTATTTTCCTTTTTTTTAAGATATTTGAGTTCCTTTTTTAAGAAATAAAATCATGCTAAATATCATAATATAAAAATAAATATATGTATACATATGTTTTCTTTTCATTCTGTACCTCTTTATTTAAAATACCTACATACATATACACATGTTTGCGCATAATTGCAAACAACACATGCACGCACAAATACATATGTAAATATGTACATACATGCATATTTCATATGGTCATACTCGGGTAAAACCTGCGCAATACTCGAGTAATACCCGAGTATAGCTCGCGCAATACCCAAACAATACTCGACCAATAACGGCACTATACTCGTTCGATCAAACGCTCATTCTGCAAAGTCTGGTTTGCTTCGATCAGGACCCAGTCATCTTAAACGAAGTGACCGAGCCTGAACTGTTTGAAAGCAAACCAATCAAGGCCAGTGCTTGTTCGTAAAAATAGAAAGATTGCTCATGCAAGTTCGATCATAAGAAAAATGCTGAGAGTACTCAACTCGTTCGAGCTCGTTTGTAGTCAAGCAAAGATCTGATTTGATTGAATTTTCAGCAAGGATGGTCGAATTGTTGCAGTTCTCTGATACACACACACACACACACATACAAGCAGCTGTTCGTGTAGTTGCGTGCAAACGATTGAAATAGCCAAAGCAAAATGTGAGACACTAATGTGCGAATGTACACACATACATATGTACAAATCTATGTATGTATGTATGTTCATTCGTCTTGCACTGACAGCAAGAAATGCTAATTAATTAAAAATTATTTAACATTTTTAAAAGTAATTTTTTCTTTGTTTAGTACATTTGGCATTAGGGTTTTCATTAGTAACTTTATGCAGCAAAAACAAATTACAAAGAACGCAAATATCAAATAGTTGGGGACATCATATACACACACTCACACACAGAACAAGCAACAGTTCGTGTCTATGTGTGCGGTTCTCTACGTACGGTTGAAAAAGCAAAGAGAAACATGCATGCATATGTACATACATATGTATGTATGTATGCCTGTGTACGTACATATATAGCATGTATGTACATTCGTATGTATGTATGTATACATTGGACAATCGAGCAATGTATACATACATACAGAAGCAGAAGGAGACTATTTTGAATAAAATAAATTGATTTTGCCGAAAAAACAATTTGTTCTGTTTCTTTGTTCTTGTACATGAAATGTACAAGAGTATATTAGGTTTGCGGGAGCTGAAAAATGTAACAGGCAGAAGGAGGCGTGGCAGACCCCACAAAGTATATATATTATTGATCAGCGTGACAAGACGAGTCGATCTGTCTGTCCGTCTGT